GCGTTCTTGAAGGATCTGGATCATTGGGCTTGCTTGCCATGAAATTTCATTAGGAAATGGAGCGTTTTCCAAAAGGCGCTTGCATTTCACAATTAAAGACGCATTGATTACCAAGGTACAAAGTTAATTTTATTCCATTTTCACCTAAATTCCATGGGTTTCGGAAAAAAGTGGCCGGAGTCCTTCAGAAATGTAACGTTGACGCTAGAAGTGGTAAACTATGCAATCAAAGCGGTTTGAATGGTTTTCACACAGGAAAGCCTTGACTTGACCTCTCCAAGTCGTTCTTCAGGTCGAATCCGAATTTCCGGACAGTTTGAGCAGCTCAGTAAAAGAGCAGATTTCGTTTCCATTACCTGCACCGAAATGCCTACCGATGTACGTTTCCCTTTTCAATTAGCATGCAATCCGCTCGCTGAAGTATAACTATTAAAATGTATTATGAGCCCTTGTTATTCGTTCTAATCAGTAATTCAAAGTTTAGAAGTAAAAGGTGCAATTGAACGCATGAAGTGTCACATTATTCAGGTTTTTCGGTTCTCCTCGAATTTCCCTGAGATTCCTGTTTCAGACGAAGTACATACCCCCCCCCCCCCCCCCCCCCCCGCTCGTCGACATCGACATTATATAGTAGGATGAGTTCATTTTCTAGGCTATCAGAGAAGTGATGGCTGAAGGAAAAGTTTGCACACTGAGCCTTCAATACTTGGCAGTATAGTGATAAGAGATGTAATAAGAACGGCCCCTTATCTTTCTTATCAATTGATAAGATTGCCTGTCACCCGTCAACAATGTCCCTATCACTACTACTCTATAATTTGGTAGTGTAAAGGCTCCAGCACTTTGACTGAGCAACAACGGCAACGTTCCTTATCAGCCCCTATCAGCTGTTATCACGTCCTGTCACCTGCCGTCGATGTCCCCATCCCCCACTCTACATCATTTTCTGAAATCAACGCCTAGCTGATGCTGTGTCCTGCGTTATGAGTATGGTGACCTTACCGTTCTAACTCCCCTTATCAAATCTTATCAGCTGATATCACTCCCTGTCACCCATCAATAATGTTCCTGTCCCACACCCTATACCATACCTTGGAATCAACTTCCCACTGTTGCTGTGTCCCGCACTATGGACTCGGTGACCCTTCCCTTCAGACGCCTCTTATCGGATCTTATCAGCTGATATCACTCCTGTTACACGTTCACGTTTCGGGGACTACTCACGAAGAAGAAATATGTACGTATTGATCCGACGTGACCGACGAAACCGACGCATCGACGTTTTCGGCGACCAAAGACTAAAAGGTATCGATCCACGTGTCAACGTAATCGACGTAAACGACGGCAGACGATTAGATGCGTATCGACTCACGTCGAAAACGTCGGTTACGTCGGGCATGGTGATTACGTTGGATCGATAGGTATATAATCTTCGTAAAGTAGTCGTGGTTTACGCCGGTTTCGTCGATTACGTCGGTTTCGTCGGTTACGTCGACTTTTGCGACGACGGTACGAACGCAGCCTAACAGCTGTGGCAACAGCTGATAAGATACCATATGGAGGCTTAGAAGGGGGGTGCTCACCAAATACAAAGCGTGGGCTACAGCAACGGACGTTGTTTCCAAGAAGTAAGATAGAGAGCGTGATGGGAGAGCCGTTTCGTTGCGGGGGTGGCAAGAAGGGTAATGCCGAGCGATAAGATACCATAGGAAGCCTTGTCAGAGTGGGCTTACCATTTCTACATCGCGAGCCACAATAACGACAGGACATTGGTTCTAAGAAGTTAGATAGAGGGTAGGATGGGAACGTTATTAGTAAGTATGCTGCAGGAAGTAATAACATCTGATAAGATACGGGGCCGGATAATCGAGCCCGCCCCTCAGCAGGAGTCACCCGACTCTAATGTCGAAGGCTCCGGAGCAGCAGGCGCGCCGGCACGGGTGGCTATAACAGCTGATAACATAGGGGCCCACTTTAGAGAAGTTGCCCCAAAACTCATAGCACGTGTTGTAGCGACGCTGTGGAACTGCTCCCAGTAAGGCCCAATCACGAGCCTGCGCTAGGCTGAAGCCCTGACAGGGCCACAGCCATGAGTGGTGACAGTATGTATCCGGGCAGCGGGCGCTATAAGAGTATCCCATACTGTTCACCATCTTAACGCTTGCGGCTGAACTTGACACTCGTGCCCAAGAGTTACTTGTGACAAAATGGGCCAGCCGAAGATGTTTCTCTCGCCTCTTAGCGATAATAGTCGAAGCTTGTTCGTGTGTGTTTGTCGTGTCTGAGAGTTACATGTTGGTGTGTGGCGGACAAGTGTGTGGTGTGGGGGTGTGTTGTCGCTGGGTCCGTGTGTGTGTGTGTGTGTGATCTGTGTGAGTGGTGTCTGTCTGTGCCGGTGTGTGGGCGGGCGACCTCTTACTCTAGATTGCCACACACAGGAAATCCTTAAGACTTCCTTTGCAAAAGTGGTTCAGTGGGTTTTGAATTGTTTATTAACAGAGACCAAAATAAAACGAATGGTCAGGAGGAGGCACTCAGCGTGCCGACTGTGCGGGATGATTTCTTGACAGTGCCCCAACAAAGAAAGATGCATGCTAGAAGGGCGGGCCACCTTGCCCATCTGGCCCAGGCTCACCATGGGTGGCCGGGCATGGTCGCGGGGAAGTGCGCGACACTCCCCACGCCAGCCAACAATTACATATTCAACATAAAACTTAAGCTGAAACTCAGAAACAGTGTGAGTAGTCTATAATGAGTGAAAACAAGTAGCATACGTATATGAATATCATGGTGTCCTATAGGCGGTTGTTTCATTATAAATCGTGTCGACTGATGGCGGTTCTTCGTGGGCGGTGGTTGGGAAGTGTAACGGAGTGTAGATTGGCTGGCAGGATTGGTGTAGTTGTAGTGGTGTCGATAGTGGCGGAGGTGCGGTTGCAGTGGTGTAGTGAAGTAGAGTTGAGTTGACGAGTCGCTCGTTGGTCTGAGCAGTAGCCTCAGTGTTTCCTCTTTTTGAGGAATGGGCCCCCTTTAGCAGGGCACAGCAAGGCGTTATGAGGCTGGCGGCATATTCCGCACATCACCTTGCACTTCGCCTCGTGTGCTGGTTTTAAGCACTGCCCGCAGAGCCCCATTTTTGACACCTGGAAAGTGCGCATGTAGGTGTCTGGGAAACGCGGGCAGCGCCCGCTGGGGTGCGAGTCCACGTTCTCCTCCAGCGTGCAAAAAATGCACGCCGAGCGTGGAGTCGAACGCTCAACTAGCACTTCCAGTGCGGGCTTCAAGCTGCTAAAGAGTTCCAGCGAACGCTGGATAGACGACAGTCTGTCGATGGTGGCTTCGAACTGCTCCAGCCGAGCAGTGACTGCAGAAGAGAATTCTTCGAATCTCAGCAGAATGGAGTCGCTCTTGTGATCGAGCGTTTTTAGCAGCTCGGTCTGGAGAAGATCGCTGTCGAGTAGAGGTTCGTAGTGAGCCATTTTTTGGCTTCTCGTCTTTCTTACCGGCTTTTATACGAGCATCCCATTGTTTATATGTAAGTTTGAATGTACCACTGCGCACTGTGGCTCCGCCCACGCTCGCACTACATGGGTTTATTGCTTTGTTCGTTTGAAAATTATGGAATTATGTATATACATGGGCACTTTGCATATGATTTTGAGATCAATTTCGATTTTGAGTTACATAATTCCTTACTTGCTGCGCTGTGGACGCTGTGAACTGAAAGGTTATCCATATCACCTTGATGGTGCCTATGGCAAATCGCCCAACGCAGGTCGCGATAATTGGGAGTGTCCTCGTTAGGAACACGATAATTCTTATCAAAACTACAACGATTAGGGGGCCGAACAGATATGTTATGGCCACGCCTATCATTACCACTATTGCTGATATCGCCGTAACTTTCCAATATTTTTTCATATTGTTAAAAAGTGGTCTGATATCGGGTAATTTCAAACTTTGAAACCAATGTATAGGTTTCGACACATAGGTATCCTTTTCATCGAAAATTTCGTCAATGTCTCTGATTTCGTGATAGAGCAGCGTTCCCTCCATTACAAAATTTTTCTATTTGCCATCGCAAACAGTATGGCAGTTCTTTTGGATGACTGCATAATTAAAGTTGAGGTTTACTATGCTCGATTTGTTTTCGGGGTTGCATTCAATGGAGAATGTTTGTTCCTCACATTGTATTGTGATCCAAGACGACTTTTCGGTTTTGCATGAAATTTGGATCTGTGCACCTTCCACGCAATCATAGCAGCCGGAGGTTTTTTCAACCTGAATTTCGCATGGCTGCTGGATCACATACTCGTTAGCACTAATTAGGGCGCTAGATTGCAATAATAAGACGACTTCTGCCTCTATGGAAGATAAGATTATTTCCTTATTCTTCGCATTGATCTGCACTGTTGGAGTATAAATCGGCAGGGTATTAATTAGTGTTGACCTGATCTGTGATATCGATTCTGTAGGACAACGGCAGCCTGCTTTCGACCGCGAGTCGTGACAGATGCACTCAAAATGAGAAGTGCAATTGGCGTAGTTATTAACGGCTGCTTTTTCTGTTGCGCATTCAACAGGAATTTTGTAATTCTCTGGTATCATGACCGCGTCCTTGGAACTCACGGCGAATCTTCGGTCCATCATAGGTGACCGAGGATTTTGTATAGAAACTACGGTCATTTTTAAGTCATCCGCTATCTGTTCAACGTATGGCTGCAGCACATATCGGCTTCTTTTGGCAACGTTGTACAGCGTCGTATGGATTTCTACCGTAACTACTGGTTTCCATTCCGAACAATCTACCACTTCATAGGCGACCTCAGATATAGGTTCATGGACGAACCTATAGAATGAGCATGAGGGTAGAGGTAATAGGCAACCGCAACCGAGTCCTCCGCAGGATGATGCGCAGGTAGAATATCCTGGGTGCCTTGCAGTGTCGCTTAATTCTGGAATGACTTCGTTTCTTCGAAAACTGCTGCACCTCTCATCATAGCACGATCCCATTTGCGGACATCGTAGAGAATGGTGTATCTTCGGCACCGAATCTCTAGTGAAGAAGCGAGATACCTTGGAGCACGTAAGCTTTATTGGGTAATGGTAGACCTTGATCAGTCCTACGGTTTTGTTTCCATGGTTAATTTGTATGCACAAATTTGAGTTGAGTCTATTGAAACTGATTTCCTCGTTGTACTCATATACGCAGCTGTCTCGCTGTGTGCATATTAGGTTTACTGTATGGCGCATATAGCCTAATTGACAGGCCGAAGCTCTCTGCAAGATGACCATAATGACACATGCCGTAACTAACCCAGATTTGGCTAGCGGTGTAGGGTTGAACGATCGCAGTGGGACATTCCTTGCTTCACAAGCCGAGTCGGAACTCCCTGCGCGTTGTGTCTTTTTGGCATTCCCTCTTCTAATCTTACGGCAGAATGCCGTGGCAACCAGGAGTATAGTTGCCAGAATAAGATAAAGAACAAGGAACGCTGATATGATGGCACCTTCTGGCCAACAGTGCGGGTTCCCTAGTAAGCCCTTCGGATAGGAATCCTTGGGCATAAGCACAGAATTCCGGCGGGGAACAATCTTGGGATTTGACGAGCACTTCGTCTCCTGCTGTTAATTTCAATGTTACTGTTGTGTTTCTGTTCAAAGGAGATACCGGCAAGAAAATTGAGACTTTATCTTTCTGATCGGTATATTGTTTGCAGCCGTTTTCGAGGCAAACTTCGAATGGTCTCTGATCACTTGGAGGTATTATTTCTACAATGCCGTTATCGCATTGCATGTATCCTCCGGAATATGTGTATGCTAGCGCTGGATGTATTGCGCAAGCCATAACTAGTAGCATTGTTAGGATGATATTGGAGCAACCTGATCCTTTGAAGATCGATCTTGAGTTGTGCCTTACATGCTGGTGGTTGAGACTCACCGAGTGGGTTTCCTCATCAGAGGTTTCCAGCCCCTCTTCGAATGCTTTTATAGCTTCGTACGCTAATCTTTTTGTTTTTCGCTCAAGTGGTTTTCTCTCCGTTCTAGTTTTTGAAACTTCATTCGTTTCTTTTTGCGTGTTTTGATCCTTACTTTCTGGGAAACTTCTTATTTCCATAGGATACAGTTTGCATACTGGTTTTTGTAAAATGTGCTGATTTGGCATTCTCACCTTCACAGTGCGGATTTGCCCGTCATTGCTGAAGACTATTTCCTCAACTTTTCCATAGACCCAACTTCCACGAGGAATGAGTTCTTGTTCTATGAGCACAATCTCTCCGACTTGTGGAAACGGCTGTGTTACTCCTCTTCTTTGCCTTTTCTTGTTCGTCTGAGTATCTCGAAGTGCTGTGAGATAGTCGGAGTTCCATCTCTCCCAGAATTTTGAGGATATGTTTTCAGCGCTTTCGAGCGCTTCTTTGACTTGGGCTGCAGTCTGCGGAAGTTCGGGATCGTAATCAGGATCTTCGAGTTCGGCCGCCATTTGCGTTTCCGGTATTGAAAACTTGACGTTTCCGCACAGAAAGTCAACAGGTCTCAGCGGTACGGTGCTCAAATCTGTTGTGTGTACTTTCGTGATTGGTCGACTGTTGAGGATGGCCTCTATTCTTGCCATGACAGTAGAAAGCTGAATGAAAGTCAGCCTTTTTCTACCAATCGTTTTCTGTAGGGCTCGTTTTACTGATCCAACGAGTCGTTCCCAAACACCTCCCATCCAGGGAGCGCCTGGTGGATTGAAAGTCCACCGAATTCCTTCTGTTGCACAGTAGGACATTACTGAGCTGTCGCTATCGTCATTCCCCTCGAACAACTTCTCGATAACTTTTTGACCCAGTCTGAAGTTAGTTCCGCAGTCAGATCTGACGTATTTTGGAACACCTCTTCTTGAAATGAATCGTATAAAGCTGTTCAAGAATGCGCCTGCACTTAAATTTTCAACAACTTCGAGATGTAGCGCTCTCGTTGTGAGACATGTGTACAAACACACGTACATTTTCTCCCGCAGCGGACTTTCCATTGGTCCCAGGAAGTCGCATCCCACTTTTTCGAAGGCCTTGGACTCAATTACTCTATCCCTCGGAAGGGATGGCATCTCTGGCGAGGAGAATGGGAGTCCATGACATCTTCTGCAGATCACGCAGTGCTTGATCTGGGTTTTAAGTAATAGCGATGGTCGAGGAATCCAGAACCGTTGCCTTAGAATTGTTAACATTTGTTCTCTGCCGCAGTGAGCATTTTTATCGTGAATATTGTCCCACAATTAACCTGGCAAGGTCTGATTTAGTCGGTATGTAAATAGGTGATTTCGTATCTTCCGGTAGACATGCGTTTTGCAGCCTTGATATGTATCGAATTACACCCCGGCTGTCTCTTTGGAGTTTCTTCTGTGGATGTCTCTTTTGGAGATCCGACATGTCGCAAGCGCTCTGCTCTTGGAGGATTATGACGCGCTCGGCTATGAAGATGTCATTAGCGTCGATCTGTGGCTCAGAACCGAATTGATCGATGAGTTCTATTTGAATGTTGGTAGAACGGCCATTGTTAGTCTTCATGATCCATTTTTTGAGGCCTTTCCCACCCTGGCTATGGTTCTGAGCGCTCTCGAAGTTTTGAGAACCTTTTCAGGTCTATAATTTGTTTAATTTCGTTTTCGCCTTGATTTTCGCCTATTTCGACGTTTGCTACCAGTGTCTCGTTAGCAGCCTCTTCTACGATATCGTTCGGCATACCGTTAATCGATATTAGAGGCCAATGACTCTGACTCTCTGCAAGCCACTTTGGACCTCTAATCCAGCTATGGGTGCAAATATTAGCAGCTGACAGCCCCCGCGTTCCTGCATCAGCGGGATTTTCTGCGGTTGGTATATAGTAGAAGTTTACTGTAATATTCTTCAGTTTCAACTGATTTACCAGCTTGGCGATTCGGTCTCTTTGATTCGAAACAAATAACGGTAGTTTTCTTGCTGTCTTGATCCAGGCAAGTGCTACCTTCGAGTCTGTAACTTACGTTGACTTCTCTAATTGCGTTCGGGATACTGCTAGTAATGCTAGTACTCAGTCTGGTTCCCATAAGTAAGGCTAGTAGCTCCAGTCTTGGGATCGTTTGTTTGTTCTTCTTTGGAGCTAGTTTCGTCTTTCCACTGATCAGAGTACTTAATTCGCACGTATTATCTGATCGTAAATAGGAGCAGGTCGCCAACGCTATCTCGCTGGCGTCGCAAAATGTCCACAGGCTATAACCAGAGGGCACTCGTTCTGAGGTGCGAGGTATAATTACGGAGATGTTATTGATATCATGGCATGCCTTGACCCATCGCCTGCCAAGGTCCGGCGGTATCTCATCTTTCCATTCTAGATTACATGCGTAAATTTCCCTCATTAGGTGCTTGAGCTTTATGAGCAGAGGTGCGGCCAACCCTATAGGATCATAAATTGAGTTTAGTTGACTGACTATGTCCCGTTTTGTCAACTTTTCCTTTGTGCATATTTTATATCCACGGAAAACTCATCGGTTCGCGTGTTATAAGGAACTCCTAGGAATTTGATTTTCCCTGCGGGGCTTCTATCCTGCGCTGGAATAGCTTCGTTAACTGCGTCGTTATTTGACACATATTCTCTGAGATTCATTCCGATTTTGGCAAACAGTTCCTTCGACTTTCCGTATTTGGATATGGCTTCTTCTACTGTCGAGGCTGATAGCAGAATGTTGTCTACATAGAGATTTTGAGCAATTTCTCCGGCTAATTCGTCATTTAGGCTCGAGAGATATGTCATTATTGCCATGTTTAGTATGCTTGGGGACGCGTTTATCCCGAATGGTAGCCTTTTGAAACGGTATTCTGTTATGTTATTCTTTGTAGCTGGACGTGTAACGTCTTTCAGCCACAAAAAGCGGCAGAGGTCTCTGTGCTGCTCAGCAATGCGTATTTGTGTGAATGCTGCTTCTATGTCACACAATATTATTATTGGTTTGACCCTGCTAGATATCAGGATGTTGTGGATTTTATTAATGAAAGATTCGCCTTTGAAGATCATGTCATTCAGCGATTTCTTTCCTTTCCCTTTTGACGAAGCGTCAAACACTATTCGGAGCGGTTTTGCTTTCTCAGGTCTCCAGACTCCAGAATGTGGCATATAATATTTTGCTATGGAGCATACTCCAGGGTTTTTCACTTCTTCTATGACATCATCTTTGATGTAACTATCAATAATCCTGCAGTACCACTTTTTTATTTCAAAGTTGTTAACTAGCTGGTACTGTAATGCGGAAAGACGCCGTATGGCGATTGCGTAATTATCGCATAGCTCACTTATACTGTCCTTGAGAGGAAATGGAGCCGTTATGTGGCCGTTTTCAAAGGATATCATCTTCGAAAACGAGGCGAAATAGTTTTCCGCCTTGTCATCCGATGTGCTTTCATCGGATGATATACCCAGTCCTTCGAGTTCGAACAGGTTGCGTAAAATTTCGTTTTCATTGCAGTCGAAGACGGCTGTCAGGCCGTATTCTACGGCTGGTTCCTTTTCACGATCGTTACTTAATGTGCCACGACCATGAAGAGATGGCCCAAAGACCGTTTTGGCAATGCGCAGTCCAGATGGAGTTGCGGTTTTGAAATTGTCTATTACCAAGTCGTAATAGTGATCTAATCCGACCAATATATGAGGCACTTGAAGTTCTCCCCGAACTTTTGGGTTGCACACTTGAATTTCGTTCTTTCTAAGAAACTCTTTGTCTAAATGTGTTAATTTAACTGATGGAAAACCGTTTGTGATAACGGGTTTAGTGTGAGCTTCAAGCTCAAATTCTTCTCCATAAGCGTCGCTTATTCTCAGATTGACATATTTGCTTTGGAATTTCTCAATGTGTCCTCCAATTCCTGACATTGTGCAAGTTTCAGTTTTCCTGGTTGGAAGACCGAACTTCTGAGCGATTTCTTCATTGATTATGGTTTTCTGGGCACCTGAATCGAAGAAGAATAGTAGTTGTTCAAATTTTTGTGCATTGTGGTTCCAGATGTTGCCGGCGGCCGTCATAAGCACTATTTGTTCTTTGTTTCGGCGCACATGTTCTTGACCGTATTGTTTTACGTCTAGGGCTTCACATTTTGATGTGTGTATATTAGCCTGGTTTGAGTTATGGCGGTCGTCGCCTTGTTGATTGCGCCATCGGTCTGCGCGAGGTCGGTTGTCCGTTGTGGAACGCTGAGGGGTTAATTTATTACCGCCAGATGGACGGCTTGTTCGACCGGCATCCTTTGCTTGTGAGGTCACGCTATCCAAGATGCATAAACTTTTGTTATGGTGTTGTCCGCATTGTGGACAATTAGACAATGAACAGCTGAAACTATTGTGATTTGTGGAGAAGCACTTCCAACAAAGTTTTCTTTCACTTACAATACGCCTTTTAGCTTGGACGTCTGTATTTCTACAGTACGCCGTTGGATGATTGACCTGATTACAAAAGACACAGCTTTTGATAGGCTTCTTAATATCATCTTTTGGTTGGAACTCTTTCTTTTTGGTCTCTTCGAATTTGGACCTGTTTTTGAGCCTAGAGTCAACGAACCTCTTCGCTGTGATCTCTTTTTCTATCTCTTGCATGACGTCTTCGACTGTGACGTCAGCCTTGTTTTGAATTGAAATAAGCACGTTTTTCACTATGTTGTATGGAAACTTTTCCAGAACATTTTCTGTCCATAGTGCGTCCTGTGAGGCGCGGATATCTTGACCTGCTGACACCATTTGGTTTATCAGCATTCTGATTTTGTCATAAGCAGCTGTGCAACTCTCTACCGAGTTGTTTGCTGGTCTCATGTCTGTTAGTTTCTGAACAATTTTAGCCCTGTTCAATGGCTTATTGCCAAATTTCTTCTTCAGCTCTTCGGTCATCCACTGATAATTTTGTGGAATGAGCTGTATTCCTTTTATTGCCGTCTCTGCTCTACCTCTTAGCGAGTCTTTCAATAGCAGCATTTTTTCGACGGTGTTGAGTACCTTGTTTCCATTTACAAGGGTCTCAAATATTGCCCAGTACTCAGGAAACTCCTCTTCGTCTCCGTAAAAGCG